TAAAAGCCGTATATTTTCCGCCTACGGAAAACTACACAGTCCTCTACGGTACTACAGGGGGACCATATAGGGTTTATAAAATTTAGCAGTGGATTTGATCTACATTGTTAACTTTACAAGCCACACTGGTAAATGAAGAGACATGACGATTTATGAATGGCCATTTCACGGTATTTAAAAGTCCCACAATTAGAAACATTTTAAAAACCGAATTATGTCCCTCTTTTGAGTCTTAAATTAGAAGAAGACGTAGTTGTCTGTCGAATGAGCAAAAGAATGAATATTTTGTGCAAGTTTTTCATAAAATATAGCTGGACATTTAGGGGCATCGAAAATCAATGAGAAAATGCATGCGAATTAAGTAGTCATTTATCACAGAGCCGGAACGAAGTTCATTTGAAAGCCGGCATCTTGAGGAAACTGCAGTATCATAGAATCATGTTGCAGGCTGACTAGTTTTACAACCTATTTAATTAATCTTTTCAAGACGAAAACGCATTTCGGAATTTCTGTTGACATTTCATAAGTTAGCCAACCTACTGTATACTTCCACACCACTGCCACTAATATCAACGTCCCCACCACAGCCATATACGGTACTACGTACACAGATACAAATACTGCTTGATCCACCACTATCACCACTGTTTATACTGCTTGCAATACTAATATTGCCACTACTACTACTACCACCACCAGCGCCACTAACACCTTTATTCCTACACCCCCTACAGATGACGAGGCTTGTGCTGCTATTACGATCATTTCTGAGATTGAGACTTCTAACACCATCGCCGTTACAGTTGCTGCTGCTACTATAACTGGTGCTAATACTACACCTAACACTACCATTATCAATAATGCCTCTGTTTTAATTACTACGCTTAGTTCTACCGCTAATATAACTGAGATTTCTGTCACAATGCTGGATCTAATAACATCATCGCAACCATTAGTGTTGCCACTAGAAATACCATTTCTGCAACAGGCGGTATCACAGTTTTGCTACTACAACTACTACCGCCACCACCAGTACTTCCATCGCCACTAATATCAGTGCTTTTTCGGGACGATCTTGGTGCTGCGAGCCAACGTTTCCTTACTCCCGTAGACCGAGCTCCAAGAAGCGGTTGGGAAGAAGGAGATACGATCGCTGAAGGATAAATTTTATTCGGCTGGCGTTTCGAGCTAATACGCGAATAAATCACTAGGGACAAAATAAGATAAAGATGAATGGATGATGGATACAAATGTGAATCCAAAACATCACTCAGGATAAACTCCTGGTCTAGCGACCGAATCTCCAATTTTTCCGGCCGTGTTTCCAACAAGGTTCGTGGCGATGCTTCTCTGGATCGGCATTCTAATTGCGTACCCTCAATTTTCGGGGTTAAAATTAGTGCTCTTCTCTCGGGCTCAGATTGCTTTAACGTGCTAGGTCTTTCAAAAACTTACTCCAATTGTGAGTGGACTCTGTTAACAGAAACTGAAGAAGAAAATAAGGCTTCGCCATGCTTCTCTCAAAAAAACATTCCTACCATTATTGCCCATTCTGCTCTTATGCTCTCTAGCGTTTTTTCATGCTCTGCTTGCTTGAAAGCCCATCTAAAGGTGAGTTTTGAAAGCTGCTGTTCTTTCGAATATGTCACCAACAAATGTGACAGAATTTCTTCTCCCCCCCCCCCCACCTTGGATATGCTTTTGCGGCCCTGAAGGGAACTCAACTAATTGGGCTTGCGTGACTGCTTAAGTGAACAGAGAGATTTCCACGCAAAACGACCTGTTTATTGGTCCGCTCTTTTTGCCTCTTCCAAATCCTCCTCCTACCCTTCATACAACGCTTGGGACAACAGTCAACACCTCACTGGTTCCTGTTGGTAAAAACTTGGATTCACTAAGGCAAAATATTATTTTTACTCTCAATTAGTTCAATCAAGACGAATTCTGGACTAGATCTCACTTCGTAGCCGTACCTGTTGGGGGTTAGGGGCTAAGGTTAGTGGACAGGAGTTGGGGTTAGGGTTAGAGGTTAGGCTGGGGCTTGTCTTCTTCAGGTACGCCTACGAAAAAAGATTCGACCGTCTTCTGCCCTTTGTCACTGGTTGACGATGCCTCACCACTTCGCCTTAAACTGTGCTGTACCCGGTGGGCACTCATTTTAATGCGTATTTTCAAATTACCATTCAGGCAATCAATGGTGTCTGATGCCTGATTTACTGTCGGAATCTCTCACATCCCTAAAAAGCTCACTACTGTTCGTCCTAGGTCCACCCTTCCAACTGCCCGCTCATTCGTTCTTCTGAAGCCCACTGAACGAGTTGTCCCAGGCAATATCCCCCATTTGCCTTCCATCCAATCGTAATCTCCACACTTGTCGCATAAAGTCGGGAGCATTACCCTAGATGTCATTGGTCTTGGGGTTCAGTCGTTTTTTAACACAATCTGACGTACATGCGCATAATCATTCCTTGGCTATTCCTCCGCCTGCAACACACTTTCACGCGACCTCCCTCTTAAAACAGCGTTCAATTGTGGGTTCGCTGGCTGACTTGTCTCCTGGCTTGTTGGCTAATTTTCGATAGGTACTCGGTCTGTTCAGTCTAGCGGTCGTATCTTTATTCTTATCCGAAATAAGAGCAGAGTGCTTCAAGGTCCTATCTTATTCCCTTACCTCTTTTTGATTCACGCAGAGGATCTACGCTCATCCCAAAAGCTGCCTATGTATCAGGTCTGCCGATGGCATGCATGTTGGTCACTCTGTCAAAAACGTGCTTGACCTCCAACATCCTAAATGCGGTTTGGACTATGTTTCAGCATATCCATCGAAAACGGCCTCCTACACACTCGGAAGTCACCTCCGCTGTGACCGAGTCTCAATCCCGAGTATTTCGACGTTCTCAGGTTTGCTGTGCATTGATGATATTGAAGAAGGAGACACAATCGCTGAAACAAGAGCTTTATTAGCCTGACGTTTCGGATTCCTGCTCGAACCCATCATCGGAGATAAAAGCTGATACAGGTGGTTCATGCAAAAGGGGCTGCAGTATTTATAGGATGCAGTCGCCATGCTACCGCATACCTATGAATATTCACGGCTCCCCCCGCCCCTTCATCAGGGATCGTTGCCCTTGGTGTGATGACTGTTTAATGGCCGATATTCGCGTCTTTAATTGCAGAAATTTCATCACATGCGTTGGAGGTTGGTGTGATGATTGCTCGACCATTTGACGTATCGATACTGGTGTTGGGAGAAGTGTTCACCTGTGCGCTTCCCGCGTGACTACTTACTCCGCCTGGGCGAAGAGGAAGGCCATTGTACTTGTTAATGGGCAGGGGGCCAGTAAACCATGACTGAAGCAGCTCCCGGCACACGCGGCTGTCACCTCTAACGAGAGTTTCGATCTCGTCGAATTTGAATGTGTGGCCGGATCTCGTCGAATGAACCGCAACTTGAGAGCTGGCGTCATTTCTCCGCACCACTGCAGCGTGTTCGACCATTCGCGTTCGGGCCTGTCTTCCGGTTTCTCCAACGTAGTTGCTTTGTCCGCAACTGCACCAGACCCAATAAACGACACCAGACGTTTTTAGCCGTGGCAGTAGGTATTTCGGTTTCATTACCTGATGCCTGATGGTTGCCTTCGGTCTGTGTGTAACACCAACCCCAAGTGGTGCGAGAAGGCGGCCGACAGCTTCCGAAACGTTCTTGACATACGGAAGCGCTCGCCAAAATCTGGGGTTCCTGCGGTTGGGTTTTTCGTGCCTTCTGTGCATGCACCGATTGACGAAGTTGCGCGGGTAGCCATTGGTTTTGAAAGCTTTCCTGGGACTTGTCTCTTCGCTTCTATTGGCATTGACGATTTTCTCATTCAGGTTCTCATTCCCCTGCATCTAGAATTCCTTTTTAACATAGTACATAAAGTGAATCATAAATCTCAAAATTTTCTTTCCTACCGCACCTCCTGAACCTCTAATCTGGCGAACTGTAGATGTTTCGTAGTCCCCTCCTCATTGTTTTCTGTTCTACCGCCTTTTTCAATTTACCTAACTAGAATTTTTCATTTTAAAACGTGTCCCGCACGTCCTATTCTACAGCCGCAAAGGTCAGACTGCCTGTCTATCAAATTCTCGATAATGCCGCCCATCCCTTTCACGCTGACCAACCTGTCGCGAAGTCAGTCCGATCCAGCCCAAGTGGCTGTCGTCATATCCATTGTCGTACGCGAGTGCATAAGCTATCATTTACACCATCATTGACACGACTTCAGACCCTCAGTGATGCTGAAATCCAGAAACTGGGGTCGAACTTCTCACCTTAGTAATTGAGCCGTCTTATGTTGACAAAAAGTCTTAGTCCTTAGTCCTCTGCTCTCCAAGCCTGTTGAATGGAGAGAGTTTTTGCTGAAAAGTTTTAAAGGTCTGTTTCGAAACGGCGCTCGTTTTTTCCCTCTCTTCATTACTGGCACTCGAACTACAATCGTTGCATCTACTGCCACAGCCACTACTATGGCTACTGAAACTGCGACAAGTACAACTAGTACTAATGTCACTGTTCTACCATTCCTGGTACCACTACTCTACTACTTCCAACACCAATAATACTATTACGTGTTCCTTTGTCTGAGTCCGTGAATAATTAATTAGTCTATTTATGCATCGACTTTTCCATCCTTTTTCAGTTTTGAATTCCTCAAGTGGACGTTAGCATTGGGTGATTACATCTGGATCGTCACCGACGACGATGTGAACCGTATGCCTTAGAGCATGGTGGGCGCAGGACGGTGACTTGCGTGTTTATTACTTCGTTGTGAAAGCACACTTGTACAGTATCTGCCGTACTCTCCCTCCTCCCTCACCTACCTGGACCCACAATCAGGACGTTCGAAGGCTGGTTTGGACGCAATGGCTGATAAAGTCAGCGTCGCGGACTGCACATGCGAGGACCAAGCCGTCTATAGTTCAGAGCCATCGGGCACTATCTTCTTGATGAATCCATAAAATGAATGAGTCACAGAACCTTTTCACTAGAAAAGAAGAGACGAGTTCCAGGAAGCAGTTCAGAAAAAGAAGAAGAAGAAGAAGAAGAAGAAGATGATGATGATGATGATGATGATGATGATGATGATGATGATGATGATGATGATGATGATGATGACGATGAAGGAGAGATCACTGAACATGAAGTTTATTGACATGACGCCAGGCCAATAAACTTCATGTTCCAGTGATCGAATCTTCTTCTTTTTCTGAACCGTTCCACTGCCTGGTACTTAGACCAAACGCCGTCGGTTGTCATGATGAGCTCCTCCAATGAGTATACAGGGAGGAGGGGGGAAGGCGCAATTAAGTAGTTTTAATGGTAGGGGGCGCTCGCCGATCGTTCTTACGGAATTCACTCGTTCCGTTGGGCCTTACGGGCTCTTTCTCGAGCCCAACCAGCAGCCGCACAGCGGCGCATGAGATAGGCAGAATGGCATTGCCGAAAAAGACAAGGGAGACTGGAATGACCTTTTGTGGCTTATCAGCCGTCGGTGAGCGCCCCCTACCATTGTATAATCCCAATCGAGAAATCGACAGGGCGACGGGCTCGTAGCCCAGTGGCTAAAGGTGTGGACTTCTAAATAACAGGTTGCGAGTTCGAGCCTCGGGTGTTCCACACTTCGGGGTTGGCCATGACTGATTGACGACGGCTAATAAACCAGAAGTGGTCATTCCAGTCTCCCTGTCTTCGTCGGTAATGCCATTCTGCGTAAGTAGTTTTGGCTGCGCTAGCACGCTCAGATGTGAACACGATCAGCTATCTCAGAGTTACCCCTTCTTGCCTTCTTCAGCTTCGTACCGGGGACAAAATGCTTTAAATATCGTGGAATGGTCGGCTGAAGGGGACATTAACAGGCCCGAAACGACTGCCACCCCTGTCTTCCCCCTCCTTTGTCAGCCAGCCTGCAGTTGGGTCGAAGTGACTTTATGTCAGATATGTAAATAAGCACCGTCGTCATTGTCTTCATCAGTCCTTACGGCAGTAGTGCCCTGATTGATTTCTACACGATAAGCACCTTGGTGTACTTCCAAGTTTAGACAAGTACCTGCTAACTGACCATCAAAAGTACGGTGGGATGAGCTGAACCGAATTACTCCGACTGATTTTGATATCCAGTCCTCTCTGAGCTTAGGTATGAGCTTTGTCACAGGCAAATCCCGCTCTTGAGGGAAGACCATTTTCCCAACATTCCGGGATGTCAGCCAGAACATATAGAGCGTCATTCGTTACCTTGGGTATTTCATGAATCCTTAACAGGTCACTCCTAAGGAGTTGCAAATTGCTTAGATGTACCTCCACTACAAGGCACCACCGGGCCTTCTGCTCTGACGCACTTAGTGTCCCGTGCCTGCCGGGGCCAGCCAACTTACAATGAGTTGTGACAACGCTCAGGGCTTGACCATTTAGGGTGACTTTGATAGGCGCCGCGGTCACATGAGTCCTACCAATTGGATGGGACCTTCAGCCGGAACCGCTACCATCCGCGCTCTTTATGAACAACTCAATGAACACCATCCCCTCAGCTCTGTCTCCCTGTTTCCAGACCATTGCCGTAGTGCTTACTTGTCATGTACAAGTCCACTTGATTAATAGCCTCATTCGTCTTCCACATCACCTTAAATTTAAAACCATTTGGCGAACTGCACCCATATAAGCAGACAGGAGAAGCAAATACCGCAAAACCATTGCAGGTCTTCTGTTTTTGGTGCTAAGGGCGCTCACGTTTAGAATACTAAAACGGCGTTCCTTCGGGTGACATTGAAGTTAACATCTAAATATTGTTCAAGAACTAGTGTGATTGCATACATGACGGTTTGTCAACAGCCTACATTCTGAGTGTAGATTCCAAAACAGTTTTTCAGGGATTCGTTTTATCCTTGATTCGTTCGAGTTAAGTGAGATGGGGTTCAACAAGAGAAACTGGATTTAGCTTGATTTCACCGATTAGGACATCGTAGGTACAAAAGTTTTCATAAGGTGACATGCTATGAGGCCGGTCGGAGCCTAATAAATTTAAGTAGGACTGACAGGCGTGAGCGTAGACATATTATTTGGTGTTTTTAGAGAGAATTTTTCTTCCGTTAAATTAATTTACAATTCTAGTTCGTTTTAGATCACGTTGAGATTCAGATCGGCCTCGAAATACTGCTGAATACTTCATGATTTTCAGCTTTTTCACCCGATCGTTCCTAAAAACAAATTCTGAATTACCTGTCTGTTGAGAACTTTAAAATAAGATTATTCTTGATGACATTTACCGAAATAGTGAGTGTTAGGGCGCTCTTTTTCACGAAGAAGGTCGTTTGGGTCACATGTTGTTGTTTATTTCAATCTTGCACACCTAGACACAACAACTCCAGTGTTTTTCATTCGGTTGACTTGATCACAGCTGACTGTGGGTGTGTGACACCACACCATTTCCTCCGTCCGTCAGTTTTAATGGCAAATACTGGGAGCTAGGCGCAAACAGATAAAGCTACAACAGTGCATTTCAGTTCTGGAGGTGTTCTGTTCACACTTTCCACTCTCGTCGTCGCCATTATCATTATCATCCCTTTTCTTCCTCTTCCCATTGCGACCCCTACTTAATCCTCGTCCCCTTATTGGTCAGTCTTTATCCCTCCTACATCAGCCTTCAGCTTAACCCGGTTACGTGGGGCGATTCGTTCATTCTGTCTGGCATATTCGCCATTGCTCGACAAAAGTGCCCGTAAACTTTGTAAGGAGCCTTTACGTTTACTCAGATTTCTCTACAGAATTCCCTGCCACTTCCAATCCGACTTACTCAATATGAATTTCGTTACGGGGCTAAGGGATGTATGTCTTTCTCCGGCGTGTCTTCACGAGCAGTTTGTAGACCCTCTGACTGGGCAGCACTTTACTGGAAGCGTAACTTGGGCCTTCGAGCTACTTATCCATTTCGGTAGGCGCAGCCTTTGATCTCAAGCGAAGGTGCGAGACTGGGTATTAATAGCCAACATTAAAGCGCTCATTGGCAGACGATCAGTTGGGACAGCAATAGCGTGAATATTTGTGAAAGCAGTGCGTGTTAAAATAAGAACATGCACAACAATTCCTTTTGTTAATGTACTCATGAGATGTGTTCACAAGCAAGAGCGTGAGTTATGTCGCACTATGGGAAACTATAAACTGAAAACGGGTAGCATTAACCGTAACCATGAAGAATAATGGTGGCAGTGGTATTCGCAGTAGCAGTAATAAAACTAGTCATCGATTTAGTTTTTCTAGTACTCGTGAGAGCAGCGTCGGCAATATTGTCAGTAGTCTGGGCACGTGTTCCATTACCGAAACTGATATTGGTTTATACGTTAATACCGGTGATTTTGTCGATATCAACTGCAAGCATAGACGTGGCAGTGCTAAAATTAGTAGCAGTGGTTATAATAATGATAATACGTGTATTAATGACAGGATTATCGTTAATTTTAGGAGTACTAAGAGGGGAGGGGACAGCAACACTTAGTAAGTTGACGAAGCTGGCAACAAAGCTAGACTTGACTTTATGCCTTTGGAAACCAAGAGGGCCTCGACGACATATTTAGGGCGTCCGCTCACAGCCATCTGAGGTTTGACAAATATCTTTATTCAGTTAGCTAGCTTTTAAGTACTTCTACTTTCATTGTCTATAAAACCCTCCAAGCTCCACATGGGTTATGCTCTTAACAAAGTCAGCCGACCGCTTGCAGGCCTGCCGCGGACGGGTAAAACCGCGCCTAGGACTCTCAGCTACAGGGCTCTGCCCATAGGCCTTGACACTCGAGTTTGAAAAGCGACGCGGCAGCCACAATATACAAATCACAACCTCTTCGCGCTGAAGGGTTTTCGGAAATTTCTCCCTATTTCCAGGCAATCCCTTCAGGTGGGCGAACGTTCTGCTGAAGGCTCAGTACTAAAAGAACAAAACCGACGTGCCGGAATGCAACAGTCACGAGGCCGTACCGTGTGACTGGCAGTGGTCGACCCAATTAACCTGCGCTGCTCAGCCAATGGGAAGAGCCCTTTGAGGTACCCAATCAGCTGTTTCCACGTGCTGGTTTTTGCACGCCCAGGACTGCGGCCGCTGCAGTTGGCGCAGTATTTGCCCTACCTAGTACCCGGTTGATGCACTTTATGCGCGAAATAAGAACTTATAACTGGTTTACTGAGGCACCCTAAGAAGAGGGCACCTAAAGGTCCGCCGGACTGCAGCCTGATGGCGCTTATTTACAGCATCTTTCTGTCTACGTCCGAAGCCCTCTGATCTTTTCACATTTTGGCACGGTTTACTCTCACGGAGAGTGCGGTCTTGTTAGGTTTCAGCTCCGTCAGCCTTTGAAGCTAAAAAAGACTTTTGTTTGCAGCATCTAGCTTATGGTTGCGAAAGATGCAGGGATCTGTCCAAAGATCTCGCTGCTGTGAAACATCACAAACATTTGTTGTAATGTTGGTAATAGCAGCAACCCTTCCTGTGTATGTCCAACGTCCTGCATTAGTACAGAGTGAGAGCTCGACCACTAATCGAGTTGTCACCATAATACCAAGATTCCTTCGGCTTGAAAACTATTTCCAGGGCTCTCGGCGATTAGCTGTGAGTCGATGATACGAAAATAGTGCTCAGTCGAAGAGGAGGCGACTCGATCGCTATGGCACAAAGTTTAGCTGGTTGACTTTTCTAATTCATGCTCAAAACATTTGTCTGAGATAACAACAGAAAAGGACATCGAACGCACCGTCGCTACACTGTTCGTAGGTTTCAGTTTCTCCTCAACCGCAGTTGGCGGCTCATGCGTTCATCACAGATACTCGGGCTTCGTGCAGTGACGATTCGATTGCTCGCATCCGAGTTGTGAGTGATCATGATGTCATCCCCTACCGTTGGTTCATGTGCTAATAACTTGACACTTCGGCCCGTCAATATGGACATCGGAAGCGACGTTTAACTGAACGTTCCCTATGCGACTAATTACCTTACCCAGGTAGCGTCTCGGCGCTGAACATTGGGGGTGAGATCACTGCGCTTGTGGACCGTCACCTGCCCACAAAATTTCAGTCTCGTGAAAGTTTAAGCTGCGATCGAGTCCCGCAAACTGGGTCGCGGCCTGAGGATTTCCACCCGCTCCCTTTACCGCTGAGGTGGGCTCAGCCAACCGTGTCTACGGCAACCTTTCACTTTTCCCAACTTGTTTGCCCTGCCCGCAACTACATAAGATCCGTTAGAGGACTCAAGACGCCGCCTGTTGCAGCACCTGATTTTTCGGCCTCACTCGATAGCTGCTTCCTGTTTGTGTATCACCCAAAACCCAAAGGACGTGAGAGGATGGCTGACAGCGAGTCTTCCTTACTTTTGCCCGCATGTTTCGTCTCCTGTATGTTAAGCATTCGCGAGCCATCTAATGTCCCACACGGGGATTTCTGCGCTGCCAACTATGGTGCATCCCGCTACCTGTGCATATACTAATGGCTGCCTGTTGGCAATCTCTTACTATTACGCGGTTATCTGCTACGCTTGACGGACCTCGACCCAAATATTCATATTAAATATTCATACAAATCTAAGTTTCAAATAGACTGATTTACTCCAAGTTAATTTATAATGCCCGAGGTTGCGAGATTACTGTTTTACCCAAAAGTCTAGGGAGTGTTCGCGACTTGTCCGGACTCAGTTGTCCGTGGTCCGTCTTTCGTTTTCATCGACATCAGAACATTTGTAAGGAGTAGTTGGTCGTCCACCTCTCTCCCTCTATAGTCTTTTGAATATCAGAAAAGGCAGAAATAGGTTGCCTATGAAAGTCTTCCAACATGTCCCTCGGCAATGGTATTGTCAGCGTAGAGGCGCAATGATCTTAGTTAAAAATCCCGGAAAGGACAGCACATTACGTCTCATAAAACGGTCACTGTGATCATTTTCGGCACGGGACTTAGAATAGGACATGCATCGATGTTAGAAATACCCTTTGACGGAAGCTGAACATTCAGAAGACTTGTTGGCAGCATATGTTTTCTTTCGATAAATTCTCCTTAAGGCAGTACACTTATACGGTAACGGGGTCAAGTAAAACATGTCGGTGATTAGAGAGATCGATTAAAGTTCGTCCTAAAGTGGGAATATTAGGGGGAGAGGGTAACAGGGGTCATGCCAGGGGCGGGGTGAGTGCGGAACTGCTCGGAGAGTTGCATGTGATTGGTTGACTTTTGGCCATGGTAGGCTCGCAGTTTGAACCAGGTTCTTATTTGCACACAAGGCCGGCTTTTGTAACTCATTTGCGGCCGCTTCTGCGGTTGCTAGTAGACCTTGTTCCAGTAGCTTGCGGTAGCTCGATGGGACCTTATAAATTGCACAAAACCTTGGTCGTGGTTTACACGATGCCCAGAATAAACGATATGCGCGAGAATAGAGCTGTTTATGCACCCAGTTTCGACTTTCCCCAGCCATGCTGGGAGGTGATTCCGTATTCTATTGGATAGGCACCGACTCGTGCGACCAGCACAACCTACTCCACAGGAGCAAATGAAGGAGTAGACGCACAATGAGGTGTACCGAGATGACAATCTATCCTTACCTTCTCCGCTTAAAATAGGATTAGTTGAGAATACTATTCAAACCCTTGCCGCTGGGGAGGTTCCTGAGACAGCTTGGTCGAGACGCCTTTTTTGGAGTTCATTCGCAGCTTCTCCTCGAAGAGAGACTTTGAATAACGGAGTTTTCTTTTCGGCAGTCAGTGTGGAGGGTTTTGCCGGTTGTTAGGCAATTTTCTTTGCAGTGGACCTCTCATATACCGGTTTTCGCTAGGCAAGTCCTGGATCTTTCTAAGCTTCTGCTCGATGCTATCACACAAATTTTTCTAGCTTTTTGCGCAAAATATCGGTCTGGGGTTCGTTTTTGTTTGAGGGACGCGAACGCTAATGTCAGTTCTCCTGTTTTGAAGGACATCTAAGAAAGGGAGCGAACCAGCCGTTTTCGTCTCCAACATGAACTTAAACGACGTATGTGCTTCATTTACAGCATTCCAGAGGGCATCTACGTCGACTCCTGTGATGGCAGTTGCAATGATCTCATTAATGTGGCGACCATAATGTTTGAGCTTATTGATCTGATTGCTTAGTTGAAATTTATCCAGCTCGCCTATGAAGACATCGGCTAAGAGAGGTCCAAGAAGCGAGTCCATAGTAATACCGACTATTCGTTTATAGAGTTGGTTGTCAAAAAGGGAACTGCACGTTTCGTGTGCATCTTAGAAATAGTTCCCTAAGCGTGTTCGCCGGAAGTCCTACTTTCTGCTGAGTGATTGATAGGAATTGCCAGGTGCGGTCAGCTGTCTCGGAGACTGAGACGTTTGTGAAGAAGGATGACGCGTTTATCGAGAACATCATTATGCCGTTAAAGTTAAGACCTTTGATGTCTTCAGTGAATCCGAAAGTATCTAAATAGCTACGTAGTGACAACCGATATTGTAGGGGGTTTAGTTTATCTGGTGACCACCTCGGTGTTGCGTGATAGAGAGAGTTTCGTATGTACAGAATAGGACGAACCGGCAGGCCGTTCTTGTGAAAAGTCGTCTTTTTTATACAAGTCAGCCTTTGGGACTATCGAAGACTAATCAGAGGCGATCGATATCTATCTAGTCAGGTGATTGTGTGTGCGTGTGTGTGTGCTGAGAGAGTTGGGAAGATTCGTCCCAGACGGGATAATTAATTGCTTTCTGTAGGTTGGCTGAATGAAGGTGAACACAAGTTCACCAAAACATCTGCATTAAAAAAGGTTCTCGCATCGGCCTACCGGTCAATGAACAGGCCTGCCGAAACAGTATGGACGGAGTGCGATAGCACTGACGTAAAATGGGAGTGTTAGGACATATGACACTGTGGCAACTGTGGGTCGCTGCGGTTGGTCTGAATACCAGGTTTAACGTGTCGGAGAGCAAACTGACAGTGGCAATTTGAAGTCCTCGGGTAATAGGATCATCTTATAACCCTGGCTCAAACGACCCATGACCACCACTGTTCGCCAGATGTATGTAGATTTCATTGCACTCCTTAGATGAGCTGATGACCCCCTGCTTCGGCTATCGTTGAAGCGTTTGCACAGTGTCTAAGATGAGCGGATAAGCTGTCTACCACGCGATAAATTTAGTCTCCAAACGTCGTAGATAAGTAAACTGACCTGCCAGCAGCTGCACCAAGGCTGCACTATTTTCGGAGAACTACGCCGGGTTACTCCTCAGACCGCTTTCCTGGGAGATTTTGCAGGAACTACTTCTCAGCACCTGGTTGATGTCGGATTTTTAAAAATTCCTGTTCAGTTATACCGCATGAAATTAGTGGTAGGGGTGGTACTCGTAGAGGGGCAGTAGTATGTAACCTCGAGAATACTTCGGTGTTTGCAGCAACAGGGCCAGTGATAGCAGGCCTGCACCAGTACCGATCCCCCCACTCTCGCACTACGTAGTTTATTTGCAAATGAGCGAATGAGAGTATTAATTGGCTGGCAGTGGTAGGTTATGTAACCTCACCTCCCAACTAAATTGAACTGTCTTTTTATTGCCTATGTGAGGGACTACGCACGACTATTCTTAAAGAAATAAATAAGTCAGGCGTGCGCGTTTGGCACCAAAACCGTTCAGGGATAACAAGAAAAGAGAGCGTGTATGTTCTAACCGAGGTAAAGTAAACCAAAACGCAGTCGGCGATCCTTGCAGCACGTGTAGTATGGTGAGTACCGACATGACGCAAAAGGCTCCAACTACTCTTCCGGAAGAAATACGTAAGTCACGGCGCAGGGAATCGATAACGAAAGGCAATGCAAGTAAACTGGGGTAACTAGAAAATCAAGGAAAAACAAAGAGATTACGGGGCAGAAGAGCAAGAGCATCATGCTAAATAATTTATAACTTAATTTATAACTATAGCTATGGATTAATAAACAAAACAAGGCCTTCTAAAACAAATATAGTAGTTGCCTACGCATGCTCAACGCAGTGAGGTTACACAACCTATCCTAACCAGTTGGCTTTTGCTTTCGCTCACAACAGCTATCTGACCCGCATTTCGGTTAACCAGGGAAAGTAGAGTTTTCATAGTTATCTACAGGACACGCATCCCCTCTTCGAGCCTGGCAAAGTAAATCAACCTGATCAACTTTGAAAACTAAATAAGATAAAAACACAAAAAATCCATAAAAAATTTAGCCTAATTTAAAAATATGACAAAAGACTCGACTTATTTCACCCACAAATACAGTGCGTGACCTGTCGCATTAAACCAGATGACAGAATTTGGTATGAGGAGTCCCGGACGTCTCAAACATTGCGCATTTTGCTAGCCCGCCCAGTCTCTTCAAGCAAATGTCCTTTTCTTATGCAGAAAATGCGTTCACGGGATTTTCTCAGGCAAAATGTTCATAAATTTGAGCGGAAATGGACGTTGTGATGTATTCAGGTAGTTTCCTATGCTAATACCTTCCTAGACTTTGATTGAGCATATGAGCGTGTTTTTGTCTGAGAAGAGAGTAATCTGCCTTCGAGAGTTCAACTAAGCAGAGCTTGTCGGGTTTTAAAATTGACTTTTTGTCTGATGCTGACCGTGGGAATCGGGTTGCAAGTCTACAGGTTGCTTTTCAAGAACTAGGAGTTTTATCGATTTTTAAAAGTCAGATTAGAAAATCTGTGCGATTTGGCGCCCCAAATTGTAGTAGTAACGCGCACAGGCAATCCTTTGTTTAAATGGTCCGAAATCGTTTTGCCGTTTCGAAAATTATGTGGGTTGTCAAAGAAATGACTATCACTGAATAGTCATTTCCGGTTTAAAATATATGAAACATTACTTTTCGTGCGGTCTAACTTCTGCTTATACGTAATTTAGAAAAAGAACTAGCATTACTAGAACACTATTTAGTCTTTAAAAGATATCAGCATTTCTATGGTCACTCAGTCCTACATTCATACTCGTAGAACGAAGCCTACAAGTGAGAAGAGATATTGATAATGGCCGCCGTATTAAGAGAAAGGTATGGTCTTCATTTTGTGGTAGAATAATATCAGTATTTTATTTACGTGAAATAAGCGGAAAAAAGTGTGAAATTTCTTCTTGGCTTCACCGCACAACTATGTAGCGTACACATACATTCGTCGACAGAATCAAGTATTATAACACTCCTTGGAAAGGTAACTTATCGAAGAAATTTTCCCAAATGATCGAAAACATATTTGTTGTTGACTTCTTTTGTGGACTCAATTATTCGAAGATGAAGTTTCCTGTTTGAGTGAGTCTTGAAATGTGAACCAAATGACCTTCTACATCGAGAAGAATGCCAAAGCACTCGCTACTTCAATAAATATCTTAAAGACGCATCTTATTTTAAAGGTTTTAATAAACGCATAATACGGGATCTGTTTTTATGAGCAAACGAGTGGAGACATTGAAAATGATGAAATATTCAGCGATGTTTCAAGGCCGATCTGAATCTCAACGTTATCCAGAAAAGTGCAAATTAATTTCACGGAAGAAAAGTTCTCTTTGTATACTCTGATCCGACTGGCAGCATTTTTACTCGTGAAAACTTTGGTTCCTATGACGTCACCACCGGCAAAATCAAGCAAAAGCCTGTTTGTTTTATTGAACCGTAAAGAGTCGTAAAGAACACCGGAAATCCTCGAGCAATCGTTTTGGAATCTATGCCCAGAGTGTAAGCTGTTGGCGAACCGCCATATCTGAAATGACACTTATTTAAGAGGACATTTGGATGTGAACTTTACTCAAACAGCATTCTTAAGCGTTACTCTGTTTGCGCTTCTATATTCACTCCGTTTTTGCATGGACAGATATTCTCCACGTCTAAAATCGAAGTTTTCACATTTGTAACCACTTCTGACGTTTTCGGGATTTTTCGCCTTTCTAAAAAAATAGCATTTCTCAAGAACTTAACATTGCCTTTTATATTTTTACGTCCTTAATTCCCGTAAAGTTGTTATTTATGGACGCAGAAATTGGATCCACGCATTGGTTTCGGTTTGTGAGTGATTAGCAATCATTCGTAAACACCTTTTATGATTTAGGCCACGAAATGTAGCACCCAAAACGGTAACGGTTGGGTGTAGGACCCACAACTAACTTGAGCTAGTTTGTGGACCGTATCATACGTTGAAAAGTGGTAGAGGGGGGTTTTACGGTTGGGACAGCACACAGGACGGAGAGCAAGAAGAGATAGAAAATGGATAGATGTTTGCCGAAAGTCTTATCGTGCGCTGTCATTCGGCAAAAGTGAGCGCAACAATTAAAAAATAAACGAAAAGCGGTTTTCAAAAATGAACTGACCCTGAATAAACCGCCGCTGGTAAGTTTACAGTTAGTCAGGAAGGGAAGGAAGTTTTAACCAACAGGAACGGTGAATAATAAGTAATGTTTACAGTCAAATTGAACTTTGGCGTATATTTTCGTAGTTGCCATCTACCTGTGGGTCCTACACCCTACCATTACCCCGAAGCTTTCTTCATTTTCGGATGGAAACTATGCCTTTACGAATAGGACTTACAGTTCCCCCTGTTACACCTGCAGTAGTTGGTTCACTAACGAATCAAGCATTTACCACCACCGCCACGCGGCTTGCCTCGACAACCCAGACATCGGCGCTTGTACACGTGTACCCAAACGTGCTCCCGACGGGTGAAGGTCGCCCACGTCGGTCACGAGAGCTCTCGCCGCAACGCCACGCGCAAAGTATGTCAAACTGGTCGCCTCTCCCCCCCCCCTAGCCGCCCTGCCCAAACAAACAATCAGGCCTGTCCAGAGGACAACAATGCGGACGCCCACACATACGTACCGAAAGGCACAAGTTTGGCCAATACAAAAGGACCGGGCCACTTGCGCACAAGGCACTCAATCCAGTATCTGTATACATCTTCATAGAGACTGTCCTGCCACCTAGGACGGCGGCTCAGAGTTTCGGCGCAGTGTTCTCTCATTCCGCCTACTGGATGTCGCTTGACCTGATCATGGAGATTAAGGTGTGCACATTACCTTATTCATTCCAGAACCTTCGAAAGAGTCCCTGAGAGCTTCGTCGCTCATCGGAAACTGCCTTAGTTTGCCTCCACAAGTCACAGTCAGCTCGCCGACGGCGTGTTTTACGAGTAGTTTTGGGCCACCCTTTCTAGTCTCCCACCCCCCTGCGCAAGGGGTTAGCCGTCACCCCAGACGACTGCCGACCTGTGGCCCAGTGATCAGAGGTGTTGGACTTCTAAACCAACAGGTCGCGAGTTCGAGCCCCAGGTGTTCCACACTTCGGGATTGGGTATAACTGACTAACGACGGCTAATAGGCCAGAAATGGCCATTCCAGTCTCCCTTGTCTTTGTCGGCAGTGCCATTCTGCCTATATCATGCGCCGCTGTGCGGCTGCTGTTTGGGCTCGAGAAAGAGCCCGTAAGCCAAGAAGGAACGAGTGAGTTCCGTAAGAACGATCGGCGAGCGTCCCCAACCACTGCTTCTAGACTAAAACCGATATTTCTTTTGTCCAGAAGTTAAGAGAAAGAAGGACTTTTACGCCTGCAGTTTTCAAGAATGGTTGTTCGACCTTGATCAAATATATTTTCACCCGTAAATCTCAGGTCATTTTGCTTTTTTACCTCACTAAATCCTCCTTAACATATTCCTTGAAAGCCGTTGCGTGCGTTTGAGTTATCAAACAAAAACGGAGACCTTTCACCTTTTTTCTTTTTCGATAGTCCCCTTCTGCATCTAATACTAGTCACAGCGAAACTGCCTTTGAGGGCTCTGCATAGAGACACAAGGCACAACGGTACGAGCAGGCACGGTAATACAATCGGAAAGCGCACTTTCAAAATAAAATGTTTACTGTTTTTTCTTTTTCCTTCATGGGCTTGGTGTAAACAGCCCGTTTTTCTCAGAAGAAAGTGGTACTCCTAGACAAGGGGGCAAGCAATAAAGCGACACTCGAAAGTGCACCGAACCCTTGTCCTGTCATCAGCGGGCAGTTATTTAGAAAGTTCAAAAGAACTATTCTACCTTCCATAAGAAGTTATATTCCATGAGGGCTTCTCCGTCATGCGTGAGGGAGATCCTGTCGCCATCAGTGTAGCTGAATAATTAGTAACATACAGTGAGTAACCAATCTCATGAAATGTTGGCTGAAATTCTGAAATGCATATTCAATTAGGAAGGATTACTTAGGCGCGGTTGTAATACTGATTATCTTGTGGCAAAATCCTATAATATTTCGGACTCGGCAGGTTGTTAGCTTTTGAACACACAGCTTTATAATCTTCTGTAGAAACCGTAGTCGGTAAAAAAATGACTACTTAAGTAACATGCATTTTTCTCACTGATTTCCGATTGTCTTTCAAATTCAAATATATCTTAGAGAAACCACAAAACAAAAATATGCATTCTTTCAGTCATTTAATAGAAAATTACGTCTTCTTTATATTTTATATCCAAGGAACGAGTATAATCAGACTCTAAAAAAGTTTTCTGATTGCCGAATAATTTGGAGCCTGATCATTCGTTGCGTTAGCACTTAGTGATTTCAGTCTACAAGGTGTATGCGTAAAGAAAGTCATATATTCTTCAATGCCTTTAAAAAGATACTATATAGAGTCCATATAATTTTGCAATTTATGCGGAATATATTGTACATTTCACGAGGAGTAGTAGTAAACGGAGACGTACAGTGCTGTATGATTGAACATTGTACGGTCTTAAAAAATCTCAGAATTAGAACCTTTCTTAAAACCTGATTATACTATTTCCTAGAGCATAAAATATAAAGATTACGCGTTTTTTATCCCACGACCGAAAGAAAGCATATTTTGTGCGTGGTTACCGTAAAATATATCTGAAGTTGCGAGACCATTGAAAATGAATTGCGAAAACGCATGCTATTAAGTAGTCATTTTTTATCAAGTGCGGCCTCTACAGCGGATTGAAAAGCTGTGTATTCAAGAGCTGACATCCTCCCAAGTCCGAAATATTATAGGATTATACTGTATTCTAATCAGTATTACAACTGCGCCCAAGTAATCCGTCCTAATCGAAAACGCATTTCAGAATTTCAGCCAGCATTTCACGAGATCGGACACCCACTGTAATCTCAGATTGTCGTTGATTCTAGACGAGACTCAAGCAAGACCACGGGTACATCGTTTAGCAGACAGCCCGTAAAGCCCACAAACACATTCTGCGCGTAATACCCCTCCGCAAAATATCCCCGTCGCTTCTATAGGGAAGTTTATTTGGAGGTTCCCACCCACCTTAGGCTAGGATCCAGCACTTTCAGTCGAGAGAGATTCAAGTCGCCGGCGGAGCGGAGAGGTGGGGAATTCTACGAAAATGGCCAATCAGAATAGATCAGTGAACCCCACCCACATGCTTGCAGCTGCATTCATCTTAACTGACTGAGCTGGTTTAATTTTAAATACTCATCCCACTGTGAATTGTTGTCCTCCATCACGGCCTTCGTTTGCGGATTTCTGAGCGGAGTTAAACCAGTCGGTGGGCCAACGCCGCGCTTGGCAGACAGCAGAGTCAAAGACGTACTCCGGGTCAGCTTTCACGACGCCCAACCATGCCAACCGGAGCTGAACTCGGGCTAAGCGACATCCCCAACGATTTTGCCACAAAGCCGTCACAGCAAATGGCCAAGTGCTTTCGATCGACGGGGAAGAAGGGAGAAATTGACTGGTGCTGTTTCTGACGGTTGTCCGTTAGAGACGCAGGTGGGAGGGCGGATTCGGGTGGTGCGGAAATGGACGGCGGGTACCATCTGTCGACACTGGCGATCTACGCATCTACGTGTCCAGTCCAGGTACAAGAGGATTTGCGCATACTTCACTCCAGTCTCTGCATATAGCTGGCCTAAACGGCTAAACAAAAAACCCCTCTCGTCGAAGACCCGTCTTCCTTTTCTTCAACGGATCGTTGCCCTATTTTCTATTTATTCCCACGTTGTCACTGTACAGTCCTATTCAACTGAAACTTTTCCACTAAAAACTTTACAACTTTCGCAGTGTAGTTGGTAGAGTATGCGAGAATTGCCCGTTTCCTCAATTTCAATTACAGTGAGTGACCGATCTCATAATATGTTGGCTAAAATTCTGAAATGCGCCTTCGATTAGAAAGGATTATCTAGGGCGGTTGTAATATTAATTATCTTGCGGCAAAATCTTGCAATATTTCGGACTTGGCAAGATGTCAGCTTTAAAATACACTTCTTTTTAATGTCTTGTAGAAACCGCACTCCGCAAAAAATGACTACTTATGTGGCATGCATTATTTCCATTGATTTTCGATGGCCTTGTAAATTCAAATATATGTTATAGAAACTATCAACAAAAATATGCTTTCTCCTACTCGTTTGATAAAGAATTACGTCTTCTTTATATTTTATACCCGAAGAAGATGTAAAAATCGATTTTAAAAAAGTTTCTGATTATGAGTTTTTTTAAATCGCGCAGTGTCCATTCACACAGCGTCGTACCTGTCCGCTTACCACAACTCCTCATGAAATGTACAACATAGGTCACATCCATTGCAAAATTTAATGAACTCTGTATGATATCTTTATAACGGTATAGAAAAATGTGTGATTTTCTTTACGCGGAACGCAGGCATCCTGTAAACTGAGATCGCTAAGCGCTAGTGCAACAAATGACCGGGCTCCAAATTATTTGGCAATTAGGCAACTATTTCAAAACCTGATTATACTCCTTCTTCGAGTAAAAAATATAAAAAAACGTAATTCTCTATCAACCGACTAGGAGAAAGCATATTTTTGTTTATCGTTTCTATAACATATATTTGAATTTACAAGGCCATCGAAAATCAATGGACATAATGTATGCCACATAAGTAGTCATTTTTTGCCGAGTGCGGTTTCTACAAGACATGAAAAAAAGTGTATTTTAAAGCCGACATCTTGCCGAGCCCGAAATATTATAAAATTATGTCGCAAAATGATCAGTTTTACAACTGCGCCTAGATAATCCTTTCTAATCGAAGACGCATTTCAGAATTTTAGCCAACATTTCATGAGATCGGTCACGCATTGTATGTAGGAGTATCTCAATCGACAGTTATGAGAAATTATTTAGGGCGGATGTTGGCAGATACGGGAGTCATCCGACGGACGGGGGTTTACTCGTCCACCTGCGACTTTACGCCGGATGCCCAGGCTCTGTTTATAAGAATTACCTGATGATCATCCTCTCTGCCCCACAAATGATCATTTTGTGATGTTTGTGGCCGATCCAAGAGGGGTGTTTACGTCTGTATCGTTAGTATACTGACTAGATAAACACGATTTGGAAATTGCTTTTTTCTCTTGCAGATATTCCCAAGTTATTTTATTGCATGAAAACTTTGTAATTTTGACGAAAGGCAACTTCACACATAAGTCAAACGATTTTTTATGTTTTAAGTGTCCTAGAATGTATCTGCGCATTTACCCGTTTCCTTAATAGAGGACGTTGATCTGCTTGAGAAAGTTTTACCAAAATCACCGGTGCCATATTCAAAAATTCATTTTTCAAACTGCGTGAAGCATCTAAGGGCAAGATATGGAGAAACACGGTATTTTTAGAAAGATATGAATTTCCTTCCAAAATTATAATTTTCAAACCCATATCGTTTTGTGCTTTCAAATGTAGCAATAACGCCTATGGACAGGTTTTCGTAATACATCCGTAATTTAGGCACACGCAGATAGTTCCTAAGTAAAGGAGAAAGGCTGTATCATCCTGCGACCATTTAAACTTACGATTGATGAATTGTCGCATGAAATATGAACGAATTAACGAACAATCACTAACAAATCCGAAGTTAATCCGAAAATATTTACCAAAAACCAAACTGATAATGAACGACCGCCGCTTAAATACAAACGTTAAACACGTATTTCCAGTACTATTTTGATTAATAGAAACAATTTTCTCAAGTAACGTGGGAATGCCGAAAACAAGAAAATTCGTGTTAAAGGAGAAGACTTGGGTTGTGGAGGTACACAGTGCTTGTCCGTGAGAATAATTAACTAAATAAAACGGCATAAACAGAGTAGAGTTTAATAACCAATATTTTTGCTGAATATCTTCGAAAAATTATTGTTACGTTAAATCGGACTCAAAGCCAAGTGCGCAGTATCCGGTCATGTGTTTCGTGAGCCTACTGTGCACAGCCCAAGTAATTTTTCCGATTCTACATTATGTGAGATGTGGCTGCTTAGTTCAAAAGGGGATTACTCTTGATTTCGCAAATAAAGACGCCATAGGAATAAACGTTTTCATAGAGTCACATGTTGAGAGGCCGGGCAACGAATAATAAATATGAATAGAAATAGCAGATACAACCGTGAACGTATTATTTTTCGCGTACCAAAGGAACTTTTCTCTCGTAAAATTAAACTGCGGTTTTAGGAGACGGTAGAGTCGCTTGAGTTTCGGGGTGAACTTGAAATATCAGTAAATGCCCTGCGGTTTTCGGGTATTTTTAATCGACCGCCCAAAACGACATGTTCTTTTCCGTGTGTTTACCAAATTTCTTCCAAATAAAGTATTTAGTGAAAGCATCTGCCGAAGTTGTGAGTCCATTCCATTATACGTGCATGGCCTTTCGGGTCACATTTGAAGATCACCTAAAAGTGAATTCCATTTCTCGAAAAAAAACGAACGTCCGCAGCCCACGCCAGGGACGGATATGCTCGTGGTCGATAAAAAACTGCCTATAAGAAATTTTATCTTTAAAAAACACTCTACCTCGGCCCTTCGCCGAC